TTGTGAAAATATCAGTAGCTCTTAAATAAAAACCCTGGTCACCCTATTCAACTGGCCGGTCGAAGATAGTCACACAATAAAATGTGAGTTGGAAGAGTAATGGCTTGTCTCGAAAGTGCTATCTTCCCAGTGGCCCACTAGCACTGTGGGGGAGTGGTGACGTTGCTGCTTGATGATATCACCCGGTTTCGAGTCCCGATGCTGATGTTGAACACCTCAGCCCAGCCTGGACATGGAGGCCTTTTTGGAAGGCAAAGTTAAGTTGAGCACGATGGTATCTTAAGACCTTTTAGTCATTCCATTGTATGAAATTCAATTTCCAACCTTCTATCACCTATTCTCTTGAGAGCCTCTAGCCTCACTTATTTGGTTATATTATTTTTTAACCTTCATGTTTCCTGTGATGCGTGCGTAATTTATTGTAAAAGACCAACAAAGGCACTAATAAAAACTTAACTCTTGGGGCATCGTCATTTCTAACTCAGTAGGGCTGTCGTTTAACCAAAATTTACGATAAAAAATAATTTTTGAGACTATCAGTAATTATTGAGCTAGGACTTAGTCACCCTAGGTCGCTTGAGTTGACTTAAGGAATCAACTATCACTCCTTAATAAAGGTATGAAGAACAGGATGGTCTGACCAAGATAAACGACTACCCTTCCTGGATGCTGAGGTCATTCACTCCAACGGAATACTCATGAGGAGACTATTCAGAAAGAAATCATATGCTTGAATAAGCCTCAAGCTTAGAACTAACGGACAATGAGCTATGGAACGAGGAGTTGGAGAAACTGGTTCGGATTTGCCTTAGTAACGGGTACCTCAGATAAGTTATAGAAAGAAATATAGGGTAATAAAGAGCACATTTCAACTAGGATTTTATGAAAATATGATCAGGAATTGGGAGGACGACCAAAAGTGGATAGGCTTGTTTTCCTGTGAACTGAGCCAGAAATTGGGATCATTAATAAGAAACTGAAAGTTCACAGTGATAACGAAGGAAAAGACAACACTCTTCACTTGCCTGCCGACTCAACATAGGAAGTTTGACAAACTGGATTGCTCGGGAGTCTAAAACATCAAATGCGGCAACTGTGATCAGAAGAATATTGGTGAAATAAGAAGAAAAATTAGCCTACGAATCAAGGGACACCAAAGACTCTGCAGAAACATGGACACTGAAAGATCCGAAATAGCAGAAAACATCGCATGAATGGGACACGAAATCGAGTGGAAATCGACATAAAACTGTCTGCATATGTTGGAAATACAAGAAACCGTAAGTTACGAGGAGCCATTGATGTCCTGACTGAAAGGAACCTAATGAACAGGAGACTTGAAGAGGGCGGGATTAGCGAAAACTTTGCATACCGCCTAAGAAAACTCGGAGACGATCAGGGAATAGCAATATCAGCAAAAAGATGACGACTGGACAAAGATAATATTTTTACTTTTAGGAAAAGAAATTACAAGGAGGCCAGAGAGAAACAATCGGAAACCAAGAGAATACGTCTACAGGGAGTCTATTCAAATCAAGTATAACCCTCAGATTTGGAGGTTGGCACGCAATATAATGTCATAGAAGAGCGAGAGAAACGGTAGTGGTCATTTCTAGTTGGGTTTCAAGGAATCTCTTGTATCATAATTTTGGGCTTACTTCCGTTTCGAGTAAAAATGTCTGATGAAGAAATTCTAAGGTTGATTCCACCAGAAGACGATAGAGGATTCCCCGTGACCATCTACCGATTGGCTTTACTGGAGCATTCATAGCGACGTGGTTTCCGAGGTAATCTTCTTCGATTCCGGTGAAAAAGTGCTAAGCTTTCATCCGTCATATGACGAATATCATCAGAGCAAGGTATCATCGACACAACCAAATTCGAGCTAACAAGTTTTCTTGACTCGTTCTGATGATGTTCGTCATATAACGGACGAAAGCTTAGCACTTGTTCGCCGGAATCTAAGGAGATTACCTCGGAAATATAGTCACCATGACTGTTCTAGTACAGCCAATCGACATCTTGTCAAGAGGAATCCGCCGTCGTCTTATGGTGGAATCGACCTTTGAATCTCTTCACCAAACACTTTCACTCAAAATGGAAGTAAGCTCAACAAATATTGGTAGATCAGTTTGCTCATAGACCTGGTCCATGAAGTAAAAGCTTGACTACGAGATTTATTTGGCGCACATGCAGCACAGTGATAAGGGAATCTGCAGTGTCAAGAAAGGTTGACATGCCGATTGAGAATCCAGACTCTGGGGGCTTGCTCAGTGAGGCTGATGTATGCGTGCTATCATAGGCTTGAGGCAGAGTGTAGAACAACGCCTTGAAAATAGCACGGATACGGTGGAAGCGCTGGAGTGAAATCACTGAAACAGGCAGACAAGGGAAGGATCCTACGGAGCAAAAGAGGGACTCTGGTTGGACCTGTAGAAAGGGGATTGCGGATTAAAACGCAGCCTTGGATCAACACACCCGGTAGAGTGGGAGGGATGTGGAGACCAGCGAGGAGTGGGAACAGATTTCAAATAGGTTTAGATAAACAAGTAAGAAATTGTGCTATTGAAGGGGTGATACGAGAAGTATGGATAGGCGAATAGCCCAGAACAGGAGAGATACCACAACTGTTTGGCACACAATTGTTCATAGGATCGACTTCACTTGTATCTTTGACGAGTTGTAGTATGGTGCAAAGAGTGGCAAGGCTCACTGAAGATGCCGATTACGAGGCCGGTGAAACGTCCGGGAATGTACCAAGTCCACGTTCCGATTCTGGAAATAATCATGCATACTATGGACTCGTTAATATGCCTTCCTGCCAGTATGACCAAGTTGCAAAAACACGGTCTAACAACTTCTATTAATCTTTAACTCAGCTTAAGCGACCTAGAGTAACTAAACTCTTATTTTTTCTATTTGAGTAGAGTTTCGAGACTACCAGTAAATCAGTAATGTGATACTCTACTTAAGTAACGTAGTCGATTGTTATAGCAAATATACCTTTGCTTCATCGACAATCACACCAAAGAATGTGATATGGCAAAAGGCCTGGCCC